CCTCATTTGCTTAGAAACTACCATTGCGCACATAATCTGCATATTTTCGGTGCTTGCTGAGTAGTGTTGGCATATTTTCGGTGCTTGGCTGGAAAACCTTTTGTTGCCTCTCAAAATTAACGCTTTATTTTTTTATTGGGTAAAATTTAATGAACAATACTTTCTTGCATTCCATGAACATGGAACAACGTAGTAGATTGCTGTTTCAAACCTAACCAAGTTTGTTGATTCCAACATTCATAGTCATCCTGGAGCTGATGGTGGAATAGTGTTCGATGAAGTGTTCTTTATTCAGAACGCCCAAGGCATTCTCGACCAGGAAGACTAGCAAGGTAAGTGCAGCGGTTGCTGTTTTTTTTACCTATATTAAGTTTTCGACAAACTGAAAATGTTTGATATCTGGCTTGTGTTCGACAAACTGAATATGTTTGATACCTGGCTTGTGTTTGTTTCCATAGCAATACTTATTTCTTCTCTCTGTTCTTTGCATTGATGATCTTTCCTATAATATGTTTTTAATCAGGGCTGAGGCTAGCGTGGTGAGCAGCAGCGAGCTTCATAGGCCGGTTATGCGTTTGCCAACGTTCGAAGCGCTGTCTTTGAATGACCCTTCACTTTCCACCCCAAAAACAGCTGAAATGACTAATGTTGATTATGCACCTGGCTCCGAGTGAGTTCTTTTCTTATGCTCCACTTTTTAAATTCAGTTGCAATCTGATGGGACCCACACCATTCACCATCTAAATCTACTAAGAAAAAGTGCCGAATTTCTTGCACTGGCTAAAACTTTATCGCTCTAACTCTAAGCTCTGAACTGTAAAACTGATCGTGTGCTTAGTTCCCCTTCCCAGGTTATGATGTTGGAAAATGCTCTGCTATTTGTTTGCTCCCATAAACACTGGCTTTTCCGTTGATAAGCCATGTGAAAAATACATGAAGTTGTTGTATGGTTGCGCCATTTATAATTGCTCTGTTATGAGAATCATTTCAAACTATCCAATTAAATTAGCATACTACTCCGGACCCCAAAAAGCAAACATGTATTGTGCTACCAGCCTACCAGTGGTTTGTACAACCAAAAATTGCATATCATAGCAAAATTTTGGACTTCCATTTGTTTGTTGCTCACCAAAAGATTCCCCTTTTATATTGGTGCGATATGGATATTGCTTGCCTGTTTAAAAATGTGTTTTTGTTTAACAGAACCATTTCAATCTTCCTAGTTAAATTTTTACTGCTTGATTTGTCAGCAGCAAACCATTAAACACGTTATGGTCAAGACGTCATCACTTGCTCTGTGAACCAATCTAACTTGCATGCTAGAACAAACACCATGTGTATCTATCCAGAGAACAATGAACGATCAAGAAATGAACAATCTTGTCCTGTACGTATCAGTTACAAGCTAGGCTGACTTTTGATACCCTTCTAGCATTTCACAATTGACAGCTACAGAAAACAAAAGGTTCTTTGTAGGGGCGTAAATGTAGCCGAGGCTCTTTGAGGGATCCATGTACCTTTGATGTGTTCAAGCGTCAAGGGCTAGGAAATTGCATAGGATTGCTGTCCAGTGAGCGTTTTTCGACCCTAACTGTGTAGAAGTATTGCGTAATCTGAAGTCATAAGGGCTTCTCTATTTTTTTCCTCGAACTAAGCAAGAGAACTATGTGTCATTTCATTAAGTAGAGAAAAAAGAAAAACCAGAGGAGAGGCAAAGCTCACTCCCTTAGGCCACATAGTTGTAACACCTTAAAATTTGCTTCTCTTGAAATAGAGCTAAAATAATTTAATTTTGTATTTTTATGCTCATGAAAACATGGAAAAATAATAAATTTTTATTAGATTAAAATTTATCATGTTCCAAAGTGTCTCTGGGAAATTTTCCCAAATTTCCAGAGGTCTCGGAGTATTTTTCATGGCTTAAATATCAATTCTGGACTTTTCTAGAATTATTTTATTTACAAAATTAATTAATTCCGAAAATAAATAATATATCTCATTTTCAACCAACTCTCAAGGTCCATGTGCAATAATCCTAATAAATCTCAAAGGCCCATGCATTTATTTACTAATGGGCTTTAATGATTATTTAGGTCTATTAGTAAATGTGGAGGGTGCAACATCAATTAATACCATATTCCTAGTTGATGTAGATGTGGGGAGTTTTTCTTCCTATAAATATGTACCAACCCTTTGGGTAAAGCACACTAAATCTACCATAAAGGAAGCCCCTAATTTGGGAAATCCCTCGTGTACTAAATTAGATTTTTCTCCTTCTCTCGCCATCGTCGACGTCGTCGTCGCCGCAGCGCTGCCCGACGCCGTAGACCTGCCGTCGACCGCAAGAAGGCCCTAGATGAGTTCGCCGTCTTCTCCTCTTATTCCCTGTGCTCTCAGCTCGTCAAACCGTGGCCTCTAGGGCCCAAACCAAGCACTCCGGGGAGCTTCTCGCCGCCAGTAATGGAGCTCCGCCGCGTCGGTTTTCTTCTCCGGTCGGTGACTCTCTCTCCCCCTCCTTTCTAATCTGGGCCGTCTAGATTCAATCTAATGGTCCAAGATCGCCCATACCCCTTCGCCAGGTTTATTTGCAAAAGAGCCCCTGTAGTTTTGCGTAATATAACCCGCAGTCTATGGCGCACTTCCAGAATACGTTTTCCTATTCCGAAAGCGTAGTTTCTTTCTTAGTAGATTCAGAATACGTTTTCTCTTTCAGAAAGCGTAAAATCCCTCTGTTAGATTCAAAATACGTTTTCTTCTTTTGAAAACGTAGTTTCTTCGGTTATATCCAAAATACGCTTTCATCTATTTACAGTTTTGCCACTAGTCTTATTTAGGCCATAAAATCTTCGTTTTAACTCTGTTTTGATCCATTCAAGTTGTGTTAGATTCGTAATTGAGTAATCTACATGTTCATCCTACTGTTAAATATAATTTCAACTTTTGAAATTCGAGGTTAGATTTAATCTATTATTTTATTAAAGGAAATCTTGTTTAATTCATAATTTTTTTTCATTATAGCTTCGATTAGAGTGTTTTTCGCGTCTGTGTGTTCGTAGTAATGTGTAGAACATCTTTAAAACCTTTTTACCTGTTGTTTATTATGTATGGTGTATTGTTCTAATTTATTTCTATTGTTTGTTCGTTTATGATTGTATGAATGCTTGTGTGGTGTTTTATGATCATGTCCAGTCGGTGAGCTATACGCGGTGAATCCAGAAGCATTTCATTGAAGGTTTTGATTAGAAGAAAGATCTGAGTTTAAAGCAAGTATAGCATGGGATCTTCCTTGTTGTCCTATTCACCTTAACATCATTTTAATTATATGCAAGTGTCTACCTTGGCAACCGTAGTAATTTTTCTAGCTATTTGATATCCTGGATTCTTTGATTTCTATAGGTTATTGCATTAGGTAGTATGATGCTAGTGCTCAAACTAAAGCCATGATCTTGTAACTTGACTAATGAATTATGCAATAAACATTAAAATATGCTTTTTAGCAACATGGAACAAGGGGGCTAGAGCATTAGGTTGTTTTTATGGTGCTCTAGATTCCTCTCCCTAAGGACTTATCTGTAAGCGAATATTCGGGACTTACAGTACAGTTGTGAGGGCTATATGGCTCTGGCTTTAGCTCAGTATAAGAACCTTTTCTAGCTTGTTAGTGGTTACCTATATGGAGCAAGAGGGGCTCTAATAGGTACGATCTCGGCCTGCCAAGAGGGTGCACTTTGATTTCTTGGTATTTTGTTAGTCACTCCTTGGAGGGGGTTCATGCTTATTGATGGCGAAATCTTAGCAGCCCTAATTTGTTAGATGAACCTTTGAAAGGCTTCATAGTGAACCCTGCCGACCTTCCTTGGTAGTGGGTCAAGAGGTTGGCCGCCTAGGACGAAAGGATAAATCACGACTCACAAGGAAAGTATACAACCTCTGCAGAGTGTAAAACTGGTATATCAGCCGTGCTCCCGGTCACGGGTGGCCTTGGTCCCTTACGGAATAGACAAAGAACACGGATGATACCGATGATAAAGATGATCACTAATGATTACTGCTTATGCTATTTATTATTCATGTTTGCCTGATCATGTGTTTATATGGGCTTGTGATAAACTTGTTGCTACTCCTAGGGTAAAATTGTGACAATTAAAAGCTAATCGCAGTTAACTCAGTGTCAGCCTTTTGAGCCTCTTGAACTCTATGTTATATTTGTTGAGTACGACATGCACTTACGCTTCACTACTGGAATCTCGCATTTTTCTGTGGGTGATAAATTTTTCTGTGTGTTTTTTTCGGTACGCACAGAAAAATTATGATTTTTCTATCGGTTCCAAAATATCCCAACAGAAAAATACTAAAACCCACAGAAAAATCGCATCGTGACAATACACACATGGAAAAATCAGCACTCACAGAAAAATGCAATTTATTCTGTCGGTTCTTTAAAAACGCACAGAAAAAAATATGTACACGTACAGAGAAATCCTAACCCTAACCCGCCGATAGCCGCGCCCCCAAACACCCTCTCACGCACGCACTAGACCGCACCCCCTCCCTCACTCTCTCCTTTCAGCGCGCCCCTCCCTCAGCGACTCAGCGCCGCGCCCTCCCTCTGCGACTCAGCGTGGGGGCTCCTCCCCTCCCCGAGCAGCGCCGCCACTCCCTCTCCTCCCTCTCCCTCTTCATCGACGCGGCGGGCGTGGCCCCTCTCCTTCACCCCCGGATCCGGCCAAATCCATGGCGAGCGTGCCCCCAGGCGGCTGGATCCGGCGCCACCACCTCCACGCCGACAACCGAGCAGATCCCGTTGTCTCCTTTGTCCCTCCTCTCCTCTCCTCTCCAGTCTTTGTCCCCAATCGCATTCTCATCGCACAGATCGGCGACCACCGCGCCCCTACGACTACGACGAGGAGGAGCTAGGAGACGAATCGGTGCAAGCAACGGGGTCAAAGACAAGGAGGCCGATCCATCCTCCAGCTTCTGATCCAATCCGATCCGACGATATGGTGTGGTTCTTAGTTCTCCCTCTCCCCTCCCCTCCTCTCCCTACAGATCCCGGTGCTATACTAACGTCGTGGTGGATGTGCTTGGCCAGGTATGCGTCGTGTGCCTGCCGCCGCTCTTCCTGATCCCGGTTGTCAACGCCCTCCCTTACCTCATCGACCTCATCATCGTACGGATCCTTCTCTCTCTCTGGTTTCTATAAGATCCAACCAGGCATCGCCCGTGGTGGTTAGGGGTTCTATCGATTCAACAGTGGCGGGGGATTTTCGAGCTTTTTTGTCTAGTCTGCTGCCCTGGTGGTTTTGTCTTGGGCTCGTGGATTCGTTGGAGCAAGAAACCAGAGCCCACCGTTCCTATAGAGAAGAGTAGACAGACCTTGATGTTGATTATCGATTGTGGTTGGTATGAGCCAGCTACGGCCAGAGCTGGTTTTCTTTTCTCTGATGATTTGGTTTGGATTTTATGATCACGTTTCCTTAGCAGCAGTTCATACCCACCCAGATTTCCTCATCAGATTCGCATAGCAATAACATCATGCAGTAAATTGATAAGCAATATGCATTTTGGATTATTATGAATTCTTGTGCCCAGCAGCTTCCTGGCCTATAGATTGTTGATTCTAGATATCAGCTTCTTGTGCAGTAAATTCAGCTTCTAGATGCATGTGAATAACTATACAACATACCTCCTTTTGATTAGTGGTAATACTACAGATGCAAGATTTGAGAATAAACCAATTCCTGAGTCTTGACACTATAATGAATAAAGGAAACCATAATTTCAATTTAGACAGGCAGCATGGAAGATATTGGATTGTTGATTTTCTTTTTTTCGGGAGTAATATGCACCTTTTACAACAATAGTGGTTCAGTGGCGTCGGCTGGGTCTAGCCATGTACTCATGCCTAAGTTTGTCTAGGCCTTATGGGATTAGCTGGAACAATAAATCATTGATCCTCTAGGGAGGATCTACCTGTCAATTACAAAGATTCGTGTATGTGATTTGGAAGAGCCAGCTAGGGGCCGAAGCTGGTTTATTTTCATTGACGGTTTTGTTAGGTTTTCTAGGATTATATTATATGGTCAGTTGCTTAAGAATAATTCTGTCAGAATCATACATCTGATCCGTGAACCAAAAATGATAGTGATGCGCTCTCTGACTGCACATAGCCTTGTAGGTTTACATGTGCATTTGGTCACATGAATGAAGAGGATCTCTGTTTCATTTCTAGTTTCTAATAAAATTCTGTTGCTTACATTATGGAATTTGATTTGTATCTTGGACGGTTTCTAGAGCAAGGTGTATCGGCTATTTGGATGGGAGTACCGGAGACCTGAAAGAGTCCCACCTGCTTGTCCTTACAAGCCTGCAGCTCAGAAGAACGATGAGGTATGCCTACATGTTCATCCTACTTTTTGTGCCCTTATATGCTCATGCTACAGTGTATCTCCCAATTGCTTATTGTACTCCGCCTTTACAGGGTGCGAGTGAATCAAAACCCCTAGCCAATCCACATGGTGCTGCGGCAGAAGATAAGAAAGAGGAATAATTCATGTATTGAAAATCCTGCTCGTGTGAGCAGGCGCTTAAAATGGAGTATGCTTCTTTCTAATTCCACCTTTTTTATATGACTGTTTAAGTGTTTTACATAGCACTGCATATAGGCTTTAGTGTATTAGGAGTATGCTTCTTTCTAATTCCACCTTTTTTACTGTGTGCAACACTGCAAATCAAGACCCGAGTTACAAAACTGATTTTTGCTCTGTGCACTTCATTTTTGCTTAAGGAAGATGAAAGTGACCATTTTTGCTCTGTGCCATTTTCCCATGAGCTGCCATATTTTGCTCTCCAACTTAAGTATTATACAACACCTCAGAATATCTAATTAACCCAATCAAACTAGAATAGACACTGATCCTAAACAAGGCAAGATCTACCAATCCCCAGAAGTCCTTGGGTGGGGAATAAATGTCCCTGTGGTGTTGCTGCAGTCAAAACTGCTGATTTAACCATTAATATTAAAACATGCTTGGTTGACAAACCTGCACAACTTGATTGAAGGCACATGAGATGCCAATAAGTTCCCTCACTTGCTGAATGCCATATGGAATAGACCTCTGTGTGTCAATGAGGTCAAGTACAGGTAAGCAGGCATCAATTATTGTCCTCCAGGCATCACCATTGCTTACAACATCATCTTTTTCAACAATGATTTCTAACGCCGGCTCATCCTTTGATACCTTCCGTGTGTTTTTTACCCAAGAGGTTGCATATGATTCAACCCAGATAATTTTTGCTCACCCTTTCTAGTTTCTTTAGTTCTTTACTCTGATTTGGCAAGTAGATCCATGTCAGGTCTTTGCTCCAATTTTTAGTGGAGTTACAAGTAACAAGAGGGCATGTCTTATGGATGAGAATAAGAAGAGTAAGAATTCTAAGAAACCCCGAACCATTGCCCTGGTAAGTGAAGTTTGATTTTGTACTCCGACTTTTATGACATTATGTGTTGTCGAAAAGTTCAATTGCTCCTGCTGATGAGATTAACACTGAGCTTTCATTGTAGCTGGAAAAATAACAGGCATGAACTGCTTCACCATGCCAACAACAGCCATGCATAGTCTGTGCACATTCTTGCCTTGGCCCTTTCATTGTAGATGCTGTTTGCATATGCATTTTAATTGTGCAAGCAAGCAAATATATCCGACTTGTAATGCTCATCATGTTTTCCAATCGGCAATGCACATGCTCTAGAAATTCATAAGGTGAAATATATATTCTACTGCTCGGCTTCAGTCTCAAGCAAGTCTTTACTGCCTTACTGGTGCATCTCACTACCTTACTGGAAGTACAGTACAAAAACAGATGCTACATTTGTTTATATTTACCTGCATCTCACTGTTCTACATAGATTGAAGCTCATTATTCAGGTTCTTGGACTTTGGAATATTTGATGTTTTTCATGGTCTGAAGCTTATAGTGAACTGTTCTGTCTCTCTCAGGTTTATGCTAGTGAAATTAGAAGAGATATGGAAGGAGGTTCAGTGCCCTATCTGCTTAGGTGAGAATATCCTTTCGCATTCTTCAGTTTTCTCGCATGACTGAAGCATTCATATTAAGGAGCTGTGTTTGTGTATTGGATACTAGCTGTTTGCTAGTACAAACTCATCTTCTAGTCAATTGTAGCACAATAATATGGCTGCCTTGTATCATATATATACATGTCATTTTTTATGGTTCACCCCAGATGTTGAAAGTTCGAGAATTCCATTGCTTGATTTGCATCATTTTCTATCAGATGATGATAATATGGCTGCCTTGTATCATATATATATATACATGTTATTTTTTATGGTTCACCCCAAATGTTAGAAGTTCGAGAATTTCATTGCTTAATTTGCATCATTTTCTGTTAGATGATGATATGCCATAGCATCTAATCCTTCTATTTTACAGGCATTATCCGGAAGACAAGGACAATTATGGAATGTTTGCACCGGTTATATAGAGACTACATTGACAAATCTATGCAGAGAGTGATTGGAGATGAATGGTTATGCGTGTAGCTACTGCATATATCGTCATCAAATGGCTTGTTGTAAAGAGATACAATACCTTTTGTTGAGCATTGAACTATCTGTGTATGTGCTATATCTATGTAAAGACATCTCGACTTGCTAATACATGAATGAATCAATGTTTGTTAATTTGATTATGTTGTGATGAAATTACAGTATGGGCAGTCCATATTTAATATGTTGTTGCTACTGTTCTGTTTCTATATAATTATTGTATCCAATTTGCTGCATGGTTAAGGGTTTCTCTGTCGGTGGTCTTATTTTTCTGTGCGTTAACCGAGACCGACACAACATTTAAATTTAATCTGGCTAACGCAATTTTTCTGTGGGTGTTACACCCACAGAAAAATCATTTTCCTGTTGGGCTTTTCTTTTTTTCTGTGAGGATCAACGCACACAACATTTAAATTTAATCTGGGCTAACGCAATTTTTCTGTGCGTGTAACACCCACAGAAAAATTGTTTTTGACGGCGAACACACAGAACAATTGAATTTTTCTGTCATTATATTTCTGTGGGTATTTTTCTGAGGGTACACCGTCAGAAAAATATTTTTTCTGACGGTATTCACATTTTTTTGTGTGTTTTCGCACACACAAAAAAATGTGAGATTCCAGTAGTGCTTGCTTTACTTTTTAAATCTTTGGAAAAATCCCAGGTGGGTACCAGATTGCTAGAGTTTGGAGGAATTAGGCTTGTGATCAACCAGTTAGTGGTCCCTGTGGAATTGGAGTCTTCACCCGAAGATCGGAGTTGTCTTTCCGCTGTTTGCTGTCTAAGGTTATATCCTTTATACTAAGTACGTTATATATTGAGCATTGTCTTTCGATATTACCCTTATTTGTAGCTATATGTGAGATTTGACTTTCTGAGCTCACATAGGGTATGTATCTAGTTTTGTTCTTAAAACCGGGTGCTATAAGACTAACAACACCACTCGCTGAAAAAAAAACACGACCAAAAAACCCCCATCCAGAGCCTAAGCAGCTGTTGGAAACGACCTACAAAGGAGCTGCTGTAATGCCTTAGCACCAGCACAACACCAGGGCTTCTTTGTTTTATGTGTTACCCTTGCAATTTTGAATGTTTGGCCTGAACGTTTTGCTGCCCCTTCAAATTTATTTATCTTTTAACATGTATAAAAGGTTCCAACAAATATACTTCGTTTCCTTTCTTGGTAATGGAACAAGATTGTAGATTGCTGTACTAGTGATTATACGGTCATGTGCTGATTCAAAATTTGTAGTCATCCTGTAGCTCAAGGGGCTGGAACTGGAACCCATGTTGGGCAGAGTGTTCTCTATTCAGATCAGCACAGACAGGCTCGGCCCATAACACCAGCACCATAAGTGTCATGGTTATTGCTATTTACGTTTATATAGATACATGTTTATTGGCTGACTTGTGTTTACTTGTGTAGCAAATTCATAATACCTTCTTCTGGATATTCTTTCTAATGATTATTGTTCCATTGTAACATTCTTTTATCAGGCAAGAGGAGCATACCTGTGAGGTGAACAGCAGTGAGTTTGATAGGGAAGTTATAGGGGCACTGTCATTAAGTGACCCCCACTTCTGACCCCTCAAACAAAAACAGATGAAGAGTTAACTGATGATGACTATGCTTGGTACGTATATTTTGCTCTTTGTTTATCTACGCTGAAATTTAATGTTTTCTATCTCTACATAATGGGAAGGATCCTCAAAAACAAAAGTTAACTGTCGATATATGGGTTTAGTAACGGAAAAATAGAACAAGTACTTTATGTGACTCAAGAAATTACATTATTTTGGTATTAAATTGTCTTGCTTCAATGCATTACAAAAAAGAATGAACGAACAAGGAACACATAAATTGTTAACTCTATCTAAGCGTCTTCTTGCCTGTGCAGGTTGCCTACTACTAGGCAGACTGAGTTCTTTTTTAACCGACCAAAAGGTATATCACGATCTATGGTGCTGTCTAGGCCCCTTCTTACCACTATTCCAAATGTCAAGGAGCAACGCCCCAAGCTATATATATTCAGATGTGAAGTATGTATATCATCACTATTTTTTATCGAGACTGGCATTTTTGTTGTTATATATATATATATATATATATATATATATATATATATATATATATATATATATATATATATATATATATATATATAAGCCTGAAATACACTGGAAATAGCAAGAAGCCTTGTTGAGGCGCTAAAATTTCAGTACATACACGGATGGACCAAAACAATATAAGCAAGTAAGCAACACACAGTAGCATGTGAGTAGCTGTAGCACCACACGATGTAAATACTATTAATTACTCTGTCATCATTCTAAGCTATAGACATGATGGTATTTTGAAGATGCTAATTCAGATATAAACCTGTAATGTGCAAAAAATAATTATTTTATTATCCTAACACCTCTAGCACATGCATGGTCAAGTGCATAGTGGAGTACTTATGAGGGTGAATAAGCAGTATAAGTGACCATGCCAGTGAAAACCTTTGTGTTCATTTGTTGTATTCATACATTCATTTGTTATGTAGAAATGAATTCATTTTGCTCAATAGCACCAGTCAGCAAATGTTTAGTTTGCATTCCATGACGTTTCGTCTACAGCTGCAGTTTGGAATTTGTTATGTTGGTTGCTTTTAACAATATTACCATGCTTTTCTTCAGCCCAAAGCATGTGCAACGTATGGTTAAGGAATACTTAGATGCACGTCCTTGTATCAACCTCGACATAGCTTCTGATAGCTTTTTGGCCGTTGAGGATCCCACTCTTAATGCCCGTGCTGCTGAATTGGGTACAGAACCACAGCTACCCAGTGTTATTACTGAACAGGCTTCTGTTGCAGCAGCTCACCCTCAGCATAGTATGGTACCAACTGAATCAAGGTAGAGGTTCTAATGTTTTGGTCTGCTCTGCCCTCTATTTTATTTCCATCACTGTCTTGCTGATGTTTGGTATTGATTTGTTTGGGAGTACGCCTGCTGGCTTACTGTATTTTTCTTTTTTCTTAATGAAATGACAGAATGCTTTCTTGTGTCGTGCCGTTGTTCAACAAAAAGTAATTCCCCTAGGCATTATTGCTTTTATTGTTACATATTGTTGTTTTCTACATGTTCATCAGGAATTAAGGCATCCTGTCATATGTAAAATGGAAATTTTAGGCTTTAGTAATTTTCATATGCTGCATTGTTGTGATTACTTAATAGTTTTTTTAATATATTTTTAGAGTAAGACACACAATGTTCTCAAATAATTTCAGTGTCTTGCTACCTTTTCTTGAAATAAAGATTGAGCAACAGTCCCCATGATTTGAATTTGGTCTGGCATAGCTAAAGCAGTGCCAGTTATTTTGGTCTTGGTTTGCTGGTAGGGAGGATAAGGCTAGTGACCATGAAGGGTGCTGGCACAACTAGTGAAAAGTGGGAGCGAGAGAGGAGACTGAGAGGTAGAAAACTGAAGGGCGCCTTTTTACTTTTGCTTAATAAACTTTCTAATGACTTGGAAGGCAAGGTTGTGACACCGTCATTAGCCTCATAGTAGTGGAGTCTGAGAGTGGTGGTAGCTGCCCTATGTAATGTCGCCACCCTCGTAGGATGCTGGGACATCATAGGCTTGAGGTCTATGACTGTCCCTATATCATACAATCAAATGCTGTGGTAGTAATAAGTTGTCCGGCTACTGCTACACATTGATAGTTTTGTAATATTTTGAGAGAATATTGATAATATTCATGTATGGTGTCATTTACCCTAACTTTTGTATTTTAACCCCCTAGTCATCCAGATTAGAAAGAGTGAAGTTTCTTAACAATTGGTGCATGTCGTGCTTACAAACTTTCATTCGAGTCATACCTCTAGTGTAGCTTTATTACTTTTTATGTATGCAAAAGAACTATCGATGTTTGGAATTGGTTTTATGATACTTTGATTCCCGCCATAGAGGAAGACGTTGGCCTCAAACTAGTTGTGGATTCAGGCATGAAGCTTCAGCGGAAGAAATTATTCCGAATGGAACGGCCTGGATGAACGAGGAGGTGATGCTGTGTTTCAAGAAGTTCATTGACATGAATCGACATCTTGCGGTAGGCATAGTTTTTTACAAATTAAACTTCCAAACTTTAAAACTTTCACAATATATCCCTATGTTGATTTGTTGTACAAGCTGGAGGACTACCGCCTTGATGAACTTCAGCACCAGTGTTTTAATGTGGAGAGCTATGACAAGGTGTACCATCATTATAACTTCACTGTGAGGATGAAGATGCCAGAAGCTGATTGGAAGGTGAAGCTGTATTTTGCTGAAGTGAAGGAGGGTTTTTAGGAAAAAATATTATTTATGCTATCCATTGGATCCAAACGAAAATGGTATAGCAACTGTACAATATCATATATGAAATATGTGTGAATGTACTTGCAGTTTTCTAGTACATTTTGCTTGGCTTTTTTCGCCCGGCCAATGTTATGCATGCAAGAACCAAAGAGTGGAAGATCTGAGACACCCTGCCATTGACCTATATGAAATAGGCTCGCCTGATGCTTCATGCAATTTATGGGACACTGTTGATGAAAATGACAAGGAAGCAACACGTTTTGAGTCTGACAGTTTGGATCTCGGAGTTTTGTTTGGTAGTTAGGTTTGGACATGATGCTCCAGGTTCCGGTAGTAGGTAATTTATTGTATCGAACTTGTGTATCGGCGGGATGTAACGAAGCACTTCATTTGTATGTGTGTGTGTGTGCGTGGATCTTTCACTATGACTGAGATGGTATTTATTTCATATATATCTGCTTATGTAGTTTCCTGTGTGCCAACCAAGTTACTTAATTGGCTCACGAACTTGGTGACATTTCACATATTTTGCTACTCCCTCCATCCCGGATAAGACAGAGAGACCTCTCGTCTCGATATAGGAGGAGTGTAATGTCCCAAGCGCAGAGAGCGTGGAGCAAGATCAACTCCTGCTCCTCTGGTCTTATCTGACAAGTAGAGTGCCTCTTCTTTTGCTATGAAAATTACGGTAGTTAGCTAGAGTTAGTTTTCTTCTCTCTGTTTACAAAAGTCATATTCATATGCCATCACAGACACAAGTTGTTTGTTCTCAAGGAACTCCGATGTGAACAAAAATTGGTGAGCACAAGGATTTTAAAATGTAGTTCCTCTGTCGGGTAATATAAATAATAGGAGCGCCTTTTTTTAATTGATGTGTTCTATATCAAAGTTGTAAATCTCAACATAATCTATAACTCGTAGTTGACAAAAAAATTATTTGAGATTCTTTAGAGGCCCAGTTATTCGTTTTAAGTTCCCTGATTCTGAAATTCAACTTTTTGAATTTTTCAAATGACCTCAAATGGTTACATGCTTTACACTAAATTTGTAGTGCTCCATTACATCTAAATTTTTTAAATTATTCTCTCATCCGAGATCATTTAAGAGCTCATATATTTTTTAATAGAATATTAAATGGCTAAAAAACAGAAAACATGTGAGGTCCACATGCCACGCGCCATTGTCCTCCAAAAACCACAAAAGGGAAATAATCTGAGCTAGATAAGGGAGGTAATTTGTCCGACTTCTAAAGTTAGAGCAACTCCAACAAGGCTCCTATTCAAACCCAACTCTACTCCATAGGTTAACAAACATGCTAAAAAATTCCAATAAATTCACAAAAAAAATATTTTGATGTCTTGGAAACCTTGTGGCAAAGTTTGAGAAATTTTGAATTTTGCATAACTATTTATTTATGCAAAATGGTGTTTTTTATGCCTTAACATGAGACAAAACAAAAAATAGAGGCTGATTTATATTTATATGACATTTTTTTGGTGCGTTTATAAGAGACAATATTTTCTAGCCGTGCACAATTTTTTGAACTTCCTTTATTGGACATATTAATAAGTACAATGACTTTTCAAAAACATGTTCGTAGCCCACTGAGGTCATGTTTTTTTTTAAAAAAATATATTTTTCATGCGCATGCTATTGGGCATGGTAATTGGGCCACTTCGGAGGCTACTATGGACTGGATGGGCATGTAACCACCACACCATAAGAGATATCGTCAGTGGTTTCTCATCGTGACAGGCGGGACCCATATACCACTAGGGACATCAACTTTTTTTTGAAAAATCAAGAAAATAGTTTATGACATGAAAACCTTGTCATAGACATACGACGTTTGCAAATTAGCATTTATGATATAGCAAAGATTTTCACCGAATGGAATTGGACAAGTTTTTTTTTTTTGGTGACGTGCATATTTTTTCTCACTAAGCCCTTGTTTAGTTCGCGAAATTTGGATTTTGGGGCTACTGTAGCACCTTCGTTTTTATTTGGCAAATAGTGTTCAAACATGGACTAATTAGGCTCAAAACGTTCGTCTCGCAATTTCCCACCAAACTGTGCAATTAGTTTTTCTTTTCGTCTATATTTAATGCTCCATGCACGGGCCGCAAACATTCGATGTGACAGATACTGTAGCAACTTTTTGGAATTTGGGGTGGAACTAAACAAGGCGTAAGATTGCTTGCCTAAAGAATTCATAAACCAGTTGATTTATTTACATTTTGGTCTGTTTTCATATGCCATATAAGTCAAAAAAATGCTATATATTTCATGTAGTGTAAGCTGGCTGGACTCGTTTGCTAGGTCGAGGTAGCTGATTTACCTCACGACCCATGAAAAAAAAATAAGCTCTAATCAAAAGGCAACAAATACAATCCACACAAGAACTTTTCCCAACAGTAAATCAGAAGAAATCTAAACACCCGCCAACGATTAAACCACAGCTTCAATCTTTGCTGTCCTTGATTTTGAATTTTGGATGAAGGTTGTTGACGTCCATAAGATCTCTAAGGGGCAGAGAATACTCTCAGAAGAGCATGCAGACGAGCTCATGGCTGAGGAGACCACCAATGGCCGTGTGGGCGCATCTCGTGACCCGAAAATCTATAGCCTAGAGATACCATATTAGCCCTATACAGTGGCCCTCGAGCAGCGTGCGGAGGCATGCGCAGTTTTAGTGACGACCTCGTACACAGATAGGGATGTTGCCGTGTTCTCGTACACGGGGGACAAGGAAATATGTGTGTATTTAGTTTATGGATGTGGTGGGATAGGATGGTTCTGTCCCTAATTTTTGGAATGACACCATTCTGTCTCATGTTTGGTTGGTAGGAATCGGTCTATTATAGTTCTTTGTTTGGTTGGAGAGATGAGCAGAAATGCATTGTTTTTACCAGGAACAGTCAATAGGCCCACTTGTCATTGTGGGGTCCAATTGTTATCCAAAGCAAACATCCTCAAGCTCCTATTCTCTCTCCTTCCAAGATCTCCCACTATGTCGACATCAGCACCTAACGGCGCTTCGCCCTCCTATCCCTCGAGCCGCTCAGGTCAATGTTGCCGTCGGCCACCCTCGCATCGCTCGTCGCCCACCCCCGAGCTACCCAACACAATTGCGCTTCTGTGTCCAATTGTGAGCTCGGTGCGGAGGAGCTACCGTCCAGGAGCTTGGCACGGGAGGAGCCACCGCCATGAGCTTGGCATGGGACAAGCCGTTGATGCCTGCGAGTGCAGTGCCATGCCGCCCACACACCTCGTCTACCTCCCCCGCCCTCACAAGGAGATGAGCTGCCCGCACGAGAGAAAATGCCCAACAATGCCGTCATTAGGGGATGACCCTGTCCGCTCATTTTCTGGAGACGGGGACAACCCAAATCTGGGCGGCATACATTAACGGAGGCGGTCACAAAATCCAACCGTCTCGTAAAACACCTGAGGATTTCGGAGGCGGTCGTTTTCTTTACGGAGGCAGTCATAATTGACCATCTCGCAAAATGCATTTACCGAGGTAGGCATTTTATTTACGGAGGTGGTCACGGCTGTCCGCCTCATAAAATCAATTTACGGAGGTCCTAATATCGTTTTACGGAGGCGGGCCTTTTATGAGGTCCGCCTCCAAAAATAGATGCCATTTTCGGGGAGGCCCGCCTCTGTAAACATACCGAGGCCTAGCCAAAAGCCCATATCATACCACCTATCGAGCTTATATAAATGGCAGAACTTAGCGTTTCCCTGACTTATCTCTCCCTCACAACTCCACCCTCACCCCCGCGCGGCGCCCCTCTTTTTCATGTGCGCGGCGGCGCCCCTCCCTCTCCCCCGTGCGCGGCGGCGCTCCTCCCTCACCCCCGCGGAGGCGCCCCTCCCACGCGCGGTGGCGCCCCTCCCATCTCTTCTCTCCCTCGCCTCTCTGCACCCCGGCGGCGGTTGGCCGCGTGCCCCTATGGTGGTGGCCCGGGTGCCCCGGCGGTGGTTGGCCGCGCGCCCGTGTGGCAGTGGCATGACGCCCCGGCGGCTATGGCCAGCGCGCCTAGGCGGATCCGGCAACGGCGGGGGCTCGGGGCGGAGGATGCAGCCAGGTGCGTGTTGGTGGAGACCCCAACGGCGGGGGTCCACGCTTCCCGGCGGATTTGGCAACTGTGGCGTCAGCTGCCTTGATCCGCGGTCGATCCGGCGACTCCATCGACGGCGCCCGCTCTGGGACCACACTGGCGGTGGATCCGGCCAGCTTGGGTCTCTCCAGCGATGGGGTGCGCGCGGGGCCCCCTCTGACGGTGGCGGACGCGCGGATCCAGCGAGCAGCGGCGTCGATGGGTTCGGGCTCGCCAGCGAGTTTTTTTTTGTTTTTTCTTATTGATTTTCCCTGGCCTGCCTGTGCAAACTTGATTTTCGCAGACGGGCATTGTGTCCGCCTCCGTAAAGCTGCGTTAACGAAGGCCTTTTGGCGGAGGCGGGCGCTTTGCCCGCCTCGTAAAATCCAAAATGCCCGCCTGGGAAAAGAATATTGTAGTAGCGACCAGTAAGCTGAGGATCGACCCATTTCGTCCACCTTGGTCCGTGGAACCAAACACACGGTAGGGAAAAGATGGACGATGGCCGATGGGTCTCACACTCTCGCCGACGCCGATTGTGAAAGGTGCAGCATAGTGGTACATAGCTCTGGGGTAAGGCAGCGCTAACTCGTGCAACTTCATGGGCTGGGCCAGCTGCTATGCTACATATTGAAGTATTGGTTGCTGGTCTGGCTGGTAGTCTCTTCGTCCCTACATAACTGTTGTTTTTTGTTTTCGTACCATAAGTTTGACTAGATTAGTAGAAAATATGTGCATCATTTGTATGTCAAAATAAATTTATTATGAAAATAGATTTAACGATCTATCTAACGATATTAATTGTGTACCATGAGTATTAATATTTTTTTATTTATATAAAATTAGTCAAAATTATTTTTCGGGAAACGAGAACGACAGTTATTT